TGAAAGAAAAATGAGAAAGTTGCTTCAGGGAATTATTCTTTTCTTCTTAACCTTAAAACACAAAATGATAAAACACTGAATTCATGTCAAATAAACCAAATCAACTATTTTTCATCTCACTTTAACGTTTAAGTCTTGATCTTGCAAAAAATCTTGAATGTAATTGATCATCTTATCCTTGAACTATTCTATTTCATCACTTCATCACTCCCGTTCTCACTAGAAATTGTCTGATATCTCGCACGGTGATAAGGAAGGTTCCAGAAAACCCGATAGTGCCGGACGTACACGAAATAAAACCGTTTATTTTGACGATATTGGAGAACTCCTGAAATCTGGAGCAATTACCATAGACAACTGTTAAGTAGCAGTGACGAGGGACAGTATCGCTAACAAACTTGCCGGTAATTTTTTCTGAAAGGAGAGAATTTGTTTGAAATCTTTGGCAACTTTAAGTTTAAGTAATTATGTCAATCAGATTTTATCTGGACATAGATTGATTTAGGTTGGAGTTCTATCAACCATTTAATAGTATTCAATAAGTTCAAAAACCATTAAAAAATAACAGAGTGAACATAGGACCAATCTGGGAAGAGATGAATTTAAAGGCAATTTTACAAGGTTTGATTGTTTCGCATCATGAAGTTTCGCTGCATTGGTAAATCGAGCTTGGAATCCCGGGCGAGTTCAGAGATTGGGTGTAATGGGGCTAAGTCAGATCTCTCCTACATTACAGGGAAGCCGTTGAAAATTTTTCGCGTGGTTTATAATTTGGCATTAACAGTGATCTGTAATGTAGCAATTAGCAGTTGCATGTGTCTGTGATTAGAGGAAAGTAGAAGAAACATTGATCTGTGAGGTAATTAGAACGTTGTGGCGGGTTCAGGGTAAATATTAGTAAACCGTTTCACAGTCTGGCCAAGACGATTGCCAGCTGGGTGGGCTCACACACGCATCTCTGATAATGGACATTGTACCAGGCTGATTGATACGCTAAAATTGTCACCTAACTACAGACGGAGATCTTACTGCTTTTACTCCACGTGAGTTTTATTTTCATTCTGTGTTAAAGCAAAACCCCGATTTACTGCACCCGATTAACCACACCGATTTACTGCAGTCCCCGACTTTGACCGCGACCAATTTTCCCAAATTAGGGCTCTAACTGTACATTCTTGTAAAAACTATTGAACTCGATTTACCGTAATACCTCGGTTTTATCGAGGGCTTTTACCCTCCTCCCAAACTCCGCGGTAAATCTTGGTATTAATGAACTTCAAGTATTGTAAAGATTCTTGGTATATAGTGGCGTTTTTATGTTATCTGGATCCTTATCAAAAGGTAGGGAGTTCATTCCCCAAACAAAAAGCCTGAATGACCATTTGTTTATTGAGAGTGGAGGGGCTAACTGTGAAGCGATCAGCCCTGGTGTAAAATAATAGTCTAGCACTTGGTTAAGAACGATTTATTTTTATTTAAGAATTAAAATAACAACAAACAAAATTTGTTGGTCCGTTTTTATCTTTTAAGATCTTAATTTTTCAGATGACTTGAACTGTTGTGTACGCAACTAACGGATTGGGGAGAGGTTCTCTCAAGACAGCAGTCCAGTACTCTGTGAAGTAAGTTATACTTAAATTGGTAGGTCAGCAGCGCCGAAGGGAATGTGGTGGACCACACTAGGTGGGGGGGCGAACTTTGTAGTTGTGCGGATTTTGTTTTGACATTTTTGGTCAGTGTTGGATGGTTACTGGTCAGATGGTTTACAAGCCAGGGTCAATTCAAGCGCTGTTACGAATTAGAAAAAAATATGGTCAACTCATCCCACATTATCCAGATCTTTGTATCTTTCCTTTTCCACTAAAAAGTTTTTTATGGGTCTTCGTTCGGGGATGGACAAGATTATTTAAAGATTAGGCAAGCTAGCTTTTGCTTACACTTTATTGTACAGCTGAGGGTAGAGCTGAAACCAGAATTATGAGTAAATTAATCTTGTATCCACCTAGGAAGCAGTAGAGTGAACCAGAATAATTACAATATTATCTTGTGTAACAGTAGAACCTGAGCTAGAATAATGACAAAATTAATCTTGTAAACCACTACACAGAAAAATCTCGTTGTCCCCAAGTTCTCTTCAAACAGCAAGAGGTCCCGATGTGAACTGTTCGAGACAGAAGAAAAATAACGATGATTGTTCGAGAATTACAAAGATATATCAAAGATATGTTGATTGATTAAAAAGTGGTGGTATCTTCTACATGTACCTTTTTTTAGTGGATAAATGCGGAAGGCGGATATGAAAAAATGAGTTTTGGTATATAGTAACAGCACAGGTGTTTTGAGCCTAGTAAAACCTTCTATTGACCGGGATAAGTCGGATTAAATTATAAGCAGCAGATAACCAGCTTGATCTTGTTGATTTTATACTAAGGAAATCTAAATTCAACTGTTGCTGCAAGCACGACCGTTGCATTATGGTGGGCTGTATTACTATGTACACCATTTACCTATTTTAACCCCTTTATATTATACCCCCTTTTACTATTATACCCTCTTTGGTTTACAAGTTACAAGCATCTTTTCGTGCACGCGGAAGCGTGCACCTCCGGCGGAGGCTAGGTGGGCGGATCACGAAGGGACCGCCGCACAGACTCGGCAGAGAGTTTTTCAGACATTAAGACTCTTCGGATGTCGTTTCAGCAGATGTATTTTTTGTTCAAAATCATTCTAATTTGATGTCAAGATGGACAGAAGAATAAATAGTTTATGTTGAGGATTTTTAAGAAATTTGCTAATATAATTACTCGCCAGCACGGTTATACAGAAATTCGGTTAAAAGACCCCAAAATCGCCATATTCAGGAGCCTTTAAAAACAATGTTTAAATTGAGTTAGAGATCTTGAAATTTTTCAGGGGTCTAGACGTTGACCAAATCGAATGCAAGAAAAGTTTAAGGGTTTCAGGAAAATCGGGATGTGGATTTTCTAGAACCCCTGTGTTTTATGACAGATAGTGTCGTGATTATACATTATACATATTCAGGGATAGACGCTTTGACCAGTCATTGTAGCCTGTATTAATAGTCCATAGATTCAAAAGTATATGATCACAGCCATTTCCACCACAGGTCTTGAAAATAATTGTTTTACACTTTAGTTTTCATTGTACAAATAATTTATTTGTACGGTCATGAAACCCTTTGAATGGAGTCATCAAGTTAACCGTTTTTTAAAACTTGATTTTTGACAAAGTGATTAACTTTTAATTGATTTTACTACACATTAAATTGTAATTGTATTCAAAATCTGAGGAAAATTTCACCATTAGATAATATTGTTCAAGCATTCGAACATCTTCCGGAAAGTTTTTCTAGCTTGCTCCTTCATAAAGATAAGTAGTACATTGGAAGTTTGTGCTTTTTTGAAGAATTATATTTATAAAAAACGTCAATTGTGCGATTTACGTATTCTCTGGTGATTGGGCCATGCCTTGGGTTGTGGAGCTCCGTTCTGCTTCCTATAGGTATAAATTGTGCATTAGGCTAGTTTTAAAGTTGAAAATAGAAAATTTGCACACGAGGGGACACGCCCAAATTGATAGAAATTTCGCTAATAATCTCACTGAAAATTGCTGTTTTCGTATTTTCTGTCAACCTTTAGAGTGCCGTTAGTGATTTCAAATTCTTCTTGATATACTTTGAAACTTTGCTTGCTTATCAAACTATATATAAAACAATTACATGCAAAAAGTTAACGGCGATTCAAATATGGATGCGCACGCAAAGTCTCCCGCTCAAAGTTTGACACGCGCGAAAGGTGAGAATTTGAGCTCATTCGTGATTTCAAACAAATTCTGCTTTGCACGACAGTTTTATGTCATATTATATTTGAATTTAATGCCAACTTGAATGAAGTATTAAGTGGTAATTATTCAGTAAAGTGATCGACCGATATGCTTTCCTAAACAACAAGGAAATGTTTTTAAAGAAGAAAAATTTACGAAATCGTTTGAAAACTTCCTTCCGGATTAATGAAAGTTTCTGTTTATATTATCGACTTTATAAAAGTACCCTGACATTATATTCAAAAAAATAGATGATATTTAGACAAAAAAGACCATTAATAATGGGTAGAAGGGACAGGCCTGTGTACTATCTTTTACCATAACAAAACGGAAATGATATTAATTTGTTTGACACGATTCTGTCAATGCAAAATGATACCGAGAATGAATATCGGTTTCGCTCGCTTTTCCCTTAATTTACAATTGTAAATTAGACCTTTGAAAAAACTACCAAAGGCAGCTGTACTCGGCACTATCAGATTCAATTAACTTCAGCAGTAGTAACTCCACCTGTTCCCGCGATATACTAGGTATCGACCCGACAAAACACCAAAGAGATTTTTAACAGCTTCTGATTTGAATGGAATTAATCGAAAATTATTTCTTATTCGAAAAGCCGTGAATGAATGGAGGAAATGCAGTGCGTCCGATTTCATTCGCGGTATCTTTTTGGCATTGAGTAGAAACGGTCTATCAATTAATATCATTTCCTTTTGTTTGGGAAGAGAGACACTGGGCAGCGGTCCACTCTACCATGATTATGGGTTTTTGTCAAATTAATAGTATAAAAAATTAATGCACACTGATATAATTATGTTTTTGGTTCTTCATTAAAACTCTTTTAAAATGGTCCTGAATTTTTTAATAACTTCCTGTGTCTGATACAATGAAGTGTTGAAATATTCTTGATGATGAGAAACTTAGATTATACCCGCAGATGTGTCGGTTTTTGCCCGGAATAAAGGCCTCACGTTCTGTTTGCGAAACTTCAATATGGTAAGAAACTTGAACTTTATTACTTCTTAAGAACTTTGAACTTATCTACTTCTTTAAAATGCTTGACCTTGCCTTTACAAAGTATATTAAGAGGAGCAGACTGAATGTTGGTACTTTATTTCGTTTTTTTAAGCACTCAATTGATTCAGACTATCTTTCAGTTAGAGGTAGTTGGACTGGAATCAGATGGGAGGAAACGCCTCACGTTGCGTGGTTCCGTTTACTCAGGTTGAGAACATGTTGCAAAAACGCTTCTCTTACAAGAAAAAGGACCCTTAGCAGTAATGTGGGTCTGCCTGCTACGAGTTTTTCGGATTATACGGACGGGATTTTTCGACTACGATTAGTGCGCAAATCTTTACACCGATATTTACCACTATGGGTAATAGGAGGTTAATAATTTTCTGATTTTCTTTATTTTTACAGATGTTTTAAATTCCTTTACGTTACTGTTGTATACTATCATAAGCATTGTTAGATGTTACAGTGGTATAGTATTATGAATAAATTTTTATGTCTGCCTGGTAATATTGCCTATTATAGAAGGAGCAATTGTCATATCAAATCTTAATTTTCTGCCCTGAACTAACTACGTATCCAACAAAACTCTATCAAAATCAGGTTACGTTAGTATCGTAGGTTACCACTTGTTTGGACAAGTTCCTACCAAGCTTTATAGTGTCAGAGCATTACTTTTGGTGTGGGACTATCGACTGTGTTGGAAGTAGAATATTTTATTTAATTTCATTGATGATATTGTAGTTATTGTACGGTAGTGAGAATAATGGTACACTTTTCTTAGGGTCTATGCGCCTCAGTTGGAAAAGTCAACTAATGCAAAAAATATCAATGTAAAATTACATATAAATATTATAAATAAATTAATCTTCAAATACCTAAAATGAGCAGTGCCCACTCTGGTTAAAGTTGAGCGAATAATTACAAAGTGTTAAGAACATAAATGAATTATATAATAATATAATGCTACTTCTGGGTATCTCAGTAAAAGGATAAACACACCCATTAATTATTTCGGGACTCATTTGTGGCTACCATGAGTGACGCCAAGTGTGACGCCTATAATGATTCTCTGAGTTTGTACGAACGGAGGAAAGATATTGTACTCACTGTGGAAATGGATGGCAAGTGTACGTCTAAGCGTGAGGTCAGTTTGTGTCATGTGTTTGTGTGTTGAATCTTCTCGAGGGGACATGACGGAATTAATGTCCCACTTTTAGTTATTCTTGTGCTTTTTTTTTGGTAATTTCATTTATAGCCAAAATGTTGTTTTGTACGATTTATGTACGACATAAAGATGTATTTGGACATATTTATAACAGATTATTTTTAGAATAAAAAGGTCAAAGGTGATCCAGTGAATGTGAAACTGACTATCTCACTGATGGATATGATGGCTCAAGTGCTAGTAGAGACCTTAAGGTGAGTCCAGTTATGTGTCTTGTGATTGTATGTGTTGAATTTCTCGCATGAGTTATGACGGAATTAATGTCCCACTGGTTGATAATCTTGTCTTTTTATTTGGTAATCTAGGTATTTCTTTATATTCGCCCAATCTTTGAAATTGGTAAGCGCGGGATTTTATATCACTCACGCTTCACTCAAGACCTAATGTTGTTTTAATACGCTTACAAATGGTCTTGTGTAACTAATGCTGCTGGAATAATTTACCGTTTATATTATCAGAATAATGAACGGTCAAGGTGTTCACACAGTGAAAATTCAGAATGTGAACTGATCTATCTCACTGATAGGATGATGGCAAGTGCTTCAGTCCAGATGGTGAGTCAGTTTGTTGTCTTGTGATTGTGTGTTGACAATCTTCTCGACAATGACAGGAATTATTTGTTCCATTTAGTTAATCTTGTCTTTGTTTTCTGGTATGTATTTTTATTCGCCAATCTGTTGAATTGGAAGCGCGGATTCTATCTACCTCACGCTTTACTCAACCAAATGTTGTTTTTACGCTAGAAAAAGAACTATTGTACTAAAGATGTAGGACATAATTTACCGTTTTTATTTTTATGAATAAATGCGGTCTATAAGGTGTGAACGGACCTGTGAACTGACATGTGAAAACGGGGGACAGGTCTCCCGTGGGAGATGTGATGTGACTGTTATCGGTTCCAGTACTACGGGAAAACGCTGCCTGTAAGAAAAGTGCACGTGCAAGAATTCTGGGACGTGTGGAGCGCCATGGCAACTGCCAATCTGTCACAGAATCAGATAAGATTGGGGGAAGTACAAGTGAGAACCGGTGCGAAGATAGAGTGTCGAACAACGGTTACTGCCACAAACGAGGGGCTCCTGTGAGTGGTGTATGGGCCGGATTTGTAAGGGACCCCCAAGTGTTCTAGGAAACTTGCGCTAAAAGTGCTAGTACCCCTAGAAAGTGTGTCGGTACTCCAACTCGCGCACGAGTCCGGTGATCTAATCAAAGGAAGTTCTTGGGTTGCCCACACAGGCTTCTACGGGAGAAGGCATGTCTCAAACAGGTGACTGCCTTCTGACAACGCAGAGGGAGTAGAAGGCAACTCAGATCTCTGCAGAAAAAAAACTGAGGGTAGTAAATAGGTGTAATATGATGAAGCGTTGAAAGCAGTGGTCCCCATAGCCTGTGGGCATGTCTGAATCTTGGATGTAGCTACTGAGGTTTGAATGTGTGTTTATAGCGGGACCGACTGAACGGGGACCATTTTTTGACGAGGGCGGGAGACTTTTTCGACCCCTTAAACGAGGAAATGGAATATTATGGCCGAGGACTTGAGTCGACCCCTACTAAAACCGTGGAATGTAACTATTTTGGCCAGAAGGAATTTGTTCGACCCCTAAAATGAGGTATGACTTTTTTGGCGAGGAACTCAGATCAGACCCCTAAACCGAGGAATGAATAATTTTGGGACAAGGACAAGTCTAAATGGCCCGAGGTCGCGGGGCGTCGGTCGACCATGGTCAGGAGCCCGAATTTCCAGATCTCAGAAGGGCTAGTAGTCAGCCACCCGTGGTTTGCGTGGAATTAAGACCTACGAGTGTCTTTCTTGATGGTAGAACAACATGATACTGATAATTAATGTCGTGGTTCAACTTCCGAGTGGGTCGTTATTGACCCAGTTGATCGATTTTAAAATTTAAATCAACGTACAGGAGTAATGACCAAGATATAACATGTTTTTATACTAATATTTGTAAAAGTTTGACAACATTATATTTAATTAATCAATTTTGTGGTCTTAGTGGGTCGCTAATGACCCATTTAACCGATTTTTCGCAGTTTATGATGATTATCACTTGCTGAGAGGCGATTTTGAACTTATGATGTCATGCTTTAGGCTGAATTCAAGAAGTTACATGGACATATGTAGTAATAAGCAAGTGAGCCGAGTGGGTCGTTAATGACCCAAATTCTTTATTTTTAAAAAGTTAGAGTCACACAGTATTGACCATATGTTTTTAACTTATGCTTTTTATTTTATTTTATCCTAACGTCTTTGTTTCAGAAGTTAAAGCCGAAAAACCGTGATGGGTCGTTTGCGACCCGGACGAGTGGGTCGTATGCGACCATAGCTGTATCTTTTAAAGTAAACGAGATACAGATTAGCTTTTTTGGATATCTCATTTTTGCTGTAAAGTGACCTAGTGTGTTAAACGGCATCAAAATCGGCAAACTTTAAAACTCGTCGTCCCTAATGGGTTAGTATGAACAGTCAAGGGACTATAAATAATGTCAGAATGTTATTCTCACATTCCTTTCTTCAGAGAGGAATTCAGAGAACAAGCCTCGTCCGCACTAGGATTCTTGTATCCACCAGATCAATCTGTAACTAAATCTTCTAGTTTCGTTTATGATCCTATGATCTCAAACTGTATCGTTATAATTCAATTTAAACTTCAGAACTTGTTAAACGTCTACCGTACCAAATAGATTAGATTTCTTTTTTGCCTCTTAAGATTTCTGATCATGATTCCAGATTCATTTTCACTCTCAACCACAAAACCATTTCGCACTCCTAAAAGTAGTCTGCAGGTGTCAGGTTTAGCTGGATTCGCACACGACTCCCTCATTTGGGGAATGTTCACCGCTCTTCTCAACAGAATCCACCCCAACTTGTTCGTCTCCAGATCCAGGGAGTTCACTCTTGTTAATCTGTACAGTGACGGAACAACTCATCCTAATACTAGGAGTTATCCTACTGCTGATATGAAACCTATTGGGTGGCCAGGTTAGCATTTGTTGTTAATTAACTTAAAACTCAGATCCACTTTATTAATAATAAAACAAATATTTAATAAAACAAATATTTATTTTTACGGCACAATCAAACAATATCAATAATAAATAAATCAGGGGAGGTTTGAAGAGGTTTCAAGTGCCGAAGGCCACTGCTTATCTTTAGGATTTGAGAGTGACCTGTGCTTAAAACCCCCTCAACCATCCACTACGTCAATATAATACTTATTATACAAATATAGAAAAATATAATTATCTAAGCTAAAATTGCTTATTGGTCTAGTTTGGTGACATAGGAGAGCCCAGTTGAGTTTTAGTTTAGGTTTATGTTTTAAATCATAGTTTGAAAGGTTAGCCATGTTTCATGGCAGAGAGAGATATCATGTGTGCAGAGCCGTACCAGATGTAGAATTTGAGATATAATATAGATTAGTTACCATATATTAGGGTCACCTCGATTTTGGAGGGATAGCAAGTGCTTTTTAAGGTTAGATTTAATAATACCTGACGAGGCTGATAAGTCTGAATTTTTGGAAGAACCCGGGATTATTATCCCATCTACATTAGCATCACATATTTCGAATACATAGGGGATGAGATCATTCCATATTTTCGTAGAGGTGTACAAAAAGTTCTGTTGGGAGATATCTAACCTCAGTAATGGGACAATAAGACGAAGTTTTTCATTTCTAGGACAGAACTTGAAAAGATCTTTAATCGACTGGGGGACATCAAATTTAAGAATTTTGAATAGCTCCATAAATGTATGGTACATGTGCAGATTCTCCAGGTTCATAATTTTCTGCTCAGTGAATAGCGGTTTAGTGTGTTCAAGACAGTAGTTCTTTTTAGCCATATGTATATGGCTAAAAAGAAACGAACATATATATGTTCGTTATAAGTTCTTGAACGTGCACAGGTTAAGTAGTATTCTTTATGATCAAAATTGGGAATGTTACCAAATAGCAGTCGTATACATCGTTTTTGAATAGCAAAGATTTTATTCAGCTTATGTTTAGGGATCCCACCCCAGCAACTTATACAATAGCTAAGATGTGACATAAATAGAGCATTGTATAGTTTCAAATATTCAGATTTGGGAATGAATTTGCAAATTCTCTTAATCGATACAATACTGGAGTTCAGCTTTAAAGATAAATGATTAAGATGTGGTTCCCAACATAGCTGTTCGTCTATTATCACCCCAAGAAATTTTGTACATTGAACTTTTTCTAGCTTTTTGCCATCTATTGAAATCGTTAGATTCTTGTTAAAGGGCCGTGTTCTAGCACAGGTCTGTGTTGCTCTTGAAAATGCATAAAACAACTTTTCCCTGCATTTATATGTAACTTGTTAGACTCCATATAGTTACTGACCTGTTTCATTACATGATTAGCTTTTTCAAAAGCTTCCTGTGCTGAACGACCTATCACAAAAATATTTGTATCATCAGCAAACAGGACGAATTCAGCCAAACTTGAGGAGCTCACAATATCATTTATATAAATCAGAAATAGTAGAGGTCCTAACACTGACCCCTGGGGTACACCATACTCAACTGAACACTTGTCCGATTTTTCAGTTTGAAAAGAAGTTACTTGGCTACGGTTTGTTAGATAGCTAGCAAGAGTTTTTAGTGCAATACCTCTTACTCCATAGTGTTCAAGTTTATGCAGGAGTTTATCGTGCTCAATTGTGTCAAATGCTTTACTTAGATCAATGAATATTCCAATTACATGATTTTTCTGTTCAATCTCATTAAGTATTTTATTGACAGAATAGTTTACGGCATGAGATGTTGAGTGTTGTTTTCTAAAACCAAATTGTCGATCAGAAATCACGTTCATAGCACTGAGGTAATTATATAACCTATTATAAATTATTTTTTCAAGTATTTTGCCAAATATCGGTAATGTAGAAACAGGTCGATAGTTATCAAGGCATCGTGAGTCTCCTTTTTTATAAATTGGTGTAATAGAGCCCGTTTTAAGCTTGTTTGGAAAGACCCCATTGTCCAAGAACCAATTAAAGAATCTAGAGATATGACCAGACAGATAATTTACACTCTTTTTCAAGACTTTAACAGAGATATCACTTGCCTTCCCATTTTCAAGGCTACCAATAATTTTACTTATCTCTTCCTCGTCACAGGGGCTGAGAAAAAAAGAGTTCACTATTCTTTCTCTGCCCTTGAGGTATTGTTTAAACTTCGTTTTATTGAAATTGCCATCAGTTACCGTACGAGATGGTACAGAAGATTGAACTTTTGAATTAAGATTACGAGCAATAGACGAGAAGTAGATGTTAAATCCGTTGGCAATCTCACGGCGTTCAGTTACAATTCTACCATCAATTAAGAATGATGCTTTTATATCTTTTTTAGATTTACCCCTGAGTTCGTTGATCAATTCCCAGGTTTTTTTAATATTTCCTTTAGCAAGTTCAAATTTTTTCCCATAGTGGGCTTTTTTCGCAGATTTTATAGCTTTGTTTAAGATAGAACGATACTCCTTATACTTAAGATATAAAGTTTCCTCACCTAATGGGTTGATTTTGGTACACGAAGCCTTCCATCGCTTGTAGTGAAAGCCTTCATTATATCTTTGGAGCAGTCATGTAACGAAATAAAATTAGTATGCCTTGCAAATTGAAACTTTAACAAATGAACAGTTTTATAATAATTTGTAAAACATGCAAAATGCAAACGATATTCGCGAAAATGCTAATTAATTATAATTAGTACAATAATTAATTATACTTAAAATCATAATAATTGCAGGTATGTTTGGTGTGGAGAGCCCGCCTATATCAGAGTTCAACACAACACATGTCATGAAGAATTCTTCCTTCCTGATAAACGATGGCCCGTGGCATGACATTGTTAACAGATACACTTTCAAGGATAATAGGTTAACATCTTAATATTATAGGGATGATAGGTTAACATTTTTAATATTACAAGGATAGCAGGTTAACATTTTTAATGTTACAAGGATAAAACGCTAAAATTTGTAATAGAACAAAACTTAAACTAAGTAATTAATTAATTTCTTTACTCAGGCCATTTGGTAGTGTACCTCACAGAATAAAGATATTTCAGGATGGCAAATGGAAGGTAAATATTTGAATACCATACCTCCAATTTCAATCAATTTGTTATATAAACATTTAATTTAAGGAGTTATTCTAACGGAACAATCCAATTTCACAACTCATATTACTAAATTATAATGAGCTCCTCCAGATCAAAAACCCACTCAGGCTCTTGCGGGACTCCTGCCTCACAGAAGAAAGATTGAACGGGACAGTAGAAACTATGAGCAGGAAGCGGCGAAGTTGTCTTCAGAGTTACACTTCGACTCTTTTGGGAATAGTTTGGAAACTGGCGTGCCTTTGTGAGTTTAGTTATTTAGTTAGTGTTTCGTTATTTTTTAGTTAATGTTTAGTTATATTAGTGTTTAGTTGTTATAATTAGTGTTTATAATCAGTGTTTAGTTGTTAAAATTAGTGTTTATAATTATTGTTTAGTTTGTGTTTAATAAGTCTTTACTCTTTAGTTAGTAATTACTAATAAGTTAGTATAATGTTTTACTCTTAAAATTATTAATTATTAATTTCCCCAGTTACGACAAGTACAAGTTTATCCGTTATTCACGAGCTGAACAAGGTCATGTTATTGCTGACGAAACGTCATGTGGATACGATCACCTCATTTGTTACTGTTAGTTAATAATTATTTTACTTGCTCTTAAATTACCTGTAGAATGTAGTTAAATTACTAAAATTAAAACACCCTGAATCCTGATGTTTGTTTCAGATTCTTGTAGAATACGAAATATGGTTACTACTGTTTAAATAGTTACTTATTATAATTACCCGATTAACCGATCGTAAGCTTTTGTTTACATCCCTTTATTACAAATTTTTCCTAATGAAATAAACTATGATTCACTCCAGGGAGACGTAGGATTAAATGGATAATCACGATCGCCACCAGTGGGTCTGTGGGGGCTATTTTAGTGTTTGGACCTCTGATATACCTGTTCTTTCGGTGGAGAAAATTCAACACTGAAATCAACGCCATGCGATGGCGTTTAAAGGACTCGGAGGTGACTTTCAGTAAGTTGTAATTATCAATATGTTATGTCTGGAGCTTTATCACAGATCGGTTGAAAGAGGTTTTAAAGCTAGATGTTTAATGGCAAATTGATTGAGACTGATAATAGATAATGCCAACGTGAAGGCCTTAAACATAATAAAACAATTGAAAACATCAAACCTACACTATATCAAACTATGTTACAGGATATCAGTACACGGATGAACAATCCGCCGACTCAGATGCCTGCAGCAGCTCGAGTGAAAGTTCAGATGAGTCTATAACAAATATTGAAGCAATTGACGGGCTCATTATGCCAACTCTTACCATTAGAAAAGGATCAGATCATGTTCCTAATCGATTAGGAATCGATTATAATCGGAGAAAGTCCAACTTCTCTGGAGTGAGAGATAGACGAACAATGCCCACGGCCTCGGCTACTGGAAATTGTCGGAGAAAATCATATTTTGTTAAGAATGATCCACCAGGCAGTTTTCTGAAACTTACTAAGAATAACGAGGTTTTTAAGCAGCTTGCTGTTTTATTTTCATATAACATTACAGACTCATATCACTACTATCCGCATTATATCTGCATTTATTCTTAATGTGCAATCGGCCAACGTATATACTGGGTTATTTCGGAGGTTTCTGATATTAGGATAATTGTTGTAGGCTAATAAACGTTAACAATCAGGGATCCACGCTCTCAGTTGAATCTGAAGAGGACACTAGAGATTACATTTACACTGATTTAGCAGTGTATAATGACCATGAGTGGGCTGCTAAGGAACTCTCTCGTGCTGCTACTTATATTATTAAAGGAAGTGGTAGAAACTTCAGGATTGAAATGAAGGAGGTGGGTAAATATATTAGTAGAAACTTCAAGCTTGAAATGAAAGATGGTGGTCAATATATTTGTTTACTGCGTCCAAACATGAAAGTGTTGGCTGATATGATAAAATATCCACTGCTCTTGGTGAATTTTATTGATTTCCGATAATAAATGTAAATAATTTTTCTTAACCTTTAATTTCAGTTACTTGAACTAAAGCACAAGAACCTCACTAAACTGTGTGGAGTTGTGTACAATAATAACCTTGCTGGCTACATGTTCCTATCACAATACTGTAAAAGGGGCTCCCTCAAGGTTATAATATTCTCTGTAGTTATGTTAAATAGCAATTCAGTCTCTCAAACCTCAGAATCACTGCCACATGTCAAAAGATATGCTTCACCTCCCCACCAGAATCCATATATCTACAAATCCAATACTAAATTTACGTTAGATAACTAATCACCTTAAAAATTATCAGAATGTTCTGGAAGACAAGGACTTTATATTCGATCTGGAGATCAAGCTGAGTTTCATCTGTGATATGATACACGGTATGGAATATCTACACAACCACAGGAGTATTGGATCCCATGGTTACCTCAAGTCTTCAAATGTTGTGGTTACTGGATGTCTCACCGCTAAAATAGCTGACTTTGGAACCTTGTGCAGGTTATTGTGATTGCGTAGGTTTTTTGACATGCAATAATATGATGTTATGATAGCAACTGGTAACTGGCGAGTAACAGAGAGAGTTGAGGAGGTATTTCATCTGAATAACACCCCCAAATTCCCGCTAGCTCAGCTAGCGGTAAAAATAACATTTTGTGGCTCCAGGGTAACTGACACAGAAAAGTTGGAGGAGCTGGGTGAAACTTCAGCTAACATCCATTCTATGTGGTCAGCCCCGGAGATATTGAGAGAGCAGATTCAGCAATCTGTGTTTGGTAAGATCGTGGTTTAGTTAATTAAGTTTAGGTTTAGTTTAATTTAAAATTAGTTGTTATTTGAAATGGTGTCATATTATATTTGTATAACTATGACGACCTGTTGTGGATAGTTTCAGACTAGTGCCATTATTTGTTTGGATTTATACGATTATCAAAATCTTACTATATATAAAGCGAGACGATATATATATAATATATATTTATTTATCCGTGCCATTTTACTGACACCACGGCATCAACTTTAACGCGAATTTCTGCAAAAACCGTCAAAGATATACAACTGAAACTTTTTTGACTGGGTCAAATGCTTTAATGGCCTCCAAATCAACATTATTATTATAAAACAGGATCTTACCGACAAAAATGATTCTTAAAAATACCTTAATGCGGTAAACTGTACCCTTGAAAAATATTTTCCCAACATCTGTTGCATGCAGCTATATCTCTAATTTCGTTCAATTCATACAAGTTGTCCATTTGCAAATTTCTACTATTTAAATCACTTCTTAAAACCGATAACAAGTTCATTCTAGGTCTCCCCAATCTTCCAATGAATAAATTATCTGATTCAATAGTAAAAGAGAGAGCCGTTTGGGCTGGGGTGTTCTCCATACTCCTGAGAATGTGTCCAAACATCTTCCACCGCTGGTGTTCAATACGCTTGGATAACTTTTCAACTTTGCACCTTTCATACAATGCTTTGTTGCTTATCATACCTTTAGGCCATTTGATGTTTAAAATGGACCTGAGGTGTCTACGATGGAGTGTGTCCATTTTCTCCATGGTTGCTTTCTTAGGACTCCAACTATTTGAGTTGTAAATCAATACAGATACAACTTGAGCATCGTATAACCTCAGCTTTCTTTCAATGGATATTTTCTTACCGGACAACCATACTTTTTCAAAGTTCTTAAAAGCAATCTCAGCTAGGATTCTCCTTCTTTGAATGTCCTTCTCAGTACACAGTAAGGAACCTAGTGACTTGTTACTTCGCCATGGTTCGTTATTAGCTAATGGCTGACCGTTTGTGTCTTTATCAGATTGTTTCGCCAGGTAGAAGGTACTGAATTCAGTTTTACTTTCATTTACTTGGAGGTTCCAGTCTTTGAGAATCTCCTTCACTGCAGGAAGGAAAATTCTCAGTCTCTCGATGTCCTCGTCAGCAAAGTCACAATCGTCTGAATATTCCCACTCAGTTGGAAAACCTAGTTCTGATACTGGTGGGTTTGGTCTCCCAGATACAGCTCTGAGGTGGTGTAAGGCTGCTGCAAGAATAAGTGTGAATAGCTTTCCAGATAAACTGTCACCTTGAAAGGCTCCGAGTAAACTTTCAAACTCTTCCGACAGTGAGGAGTTAACACGAACTCTAAGGAGAGTATTCGATAGAAGGTATTGAACTAAGCGAATGTCGTCCTCCGAACAACCAGCATCTTTCAAAACATTGATGATAGTGTCCCTTTTCACGGTATCAAAAGCTCTACTCATATCAATACCCATTTTGCTAAATGTCCATTTCTTCCTCATCACAACAGATATGAGCATTCTCTGAGCCCACACAATGTCAGAGCATTTGCAATCAACATGAAAAAATAAAAAATTGGCCAAGAAATAGGAGTTTTAGAGCCCAAAATTTGGTACCCCAAGTGGTGTCAAAAACGCGAATTAAATAGGTAATAATTGTTTTAGTCTCTTGAGTCTTGACACCATTTTAGGGTTAGACGGGTTCCTGCTAGTACATATAATGGATAATGGTGCTGGCTACACTAAAACTACACAAACGAATATTTTTTAAATAAGTTTCGCACAATGCATAATACATTATACACTGTCTGAAAAGGTAACTTATTTACTTTTAACTGTAGATGATCTTCTCAGGGACCAAGGAAGGAGATGTTTATAGTTTTGGTATAATATGTCACGAGATATTGGAGTATAGTGGACCTTTCAACACACATGACCATCATGGACTAGATGCACAGGGTAAGAACAAATGGTTTTAGAATGGTTATTAGTCGAGGAGACGACGTGACCAAGCCGAGGTGAAATGGAATGTCCCACGACGGAGATCGAGACTAGCTTGCAAACTTTCGAAAAAGCCGTCAAAGATCATGATTTCAGCTCAGCTAAAATTTACTATATAACTCATTTCTCACACCTAATTTCTCATACCTACTTATTACCAGAAGTAGTGACTCTAGTAAGAAAGTGTCACTCCAAGTCCCCGTACCGGCCTGCGTACAGCGTGAACCCCAACATGGAAACCAAAGAACGAACAGCTGTCAACATGTCTCTCCAGTGTTGGAGTGAGGACCCGGAGGAGAGGCCTAGTTTTAGGGGTCTACTCCGCGACAGAGTCCCTGATATTACCAGTATCAGGTCAGTTGTGTGTGTGAAAGTGAAAGTGAAAGTGAAACTTAAAGCTTGAGGCTGCTTTGAATTATATGTGCAATATAGCAATATGCAATGTTAGAAGTTGTACCTTATGAGATCAACAATTTCAACATATTCACCAAACCCAGGAAATCAGTAGTTGAACATGCCCTGGAAACAGTAAAGAAGTACAGCAAGAAAAAGGAAAAGAAGATCGCGCAGCTGGATTCTGAGTTGAGATCGATAAGAGGCGATATTGGACGGCTTCGACTGCAGATTCTGCCTTGGTAAAGAACTTTTGTTGTAATAATTACGTAATTAAATAAGATATGTATATTTATTATCGAGGGCTGTGTGACCATTTAGACCATGTCAATTTAATCAATATATTCATCCATCGATTAACATTGTAGCTTAAAAGTGAACTAGACCCGATATTTAAGAAACAATTAATACGAATTGCCTTCTCCCTGACTGCAATCTTCTTCAGGGAAGTAGCTGAGAACATCGAGGAAGGTATTTATCCGGGAGCTGAGTCACTACTGTCCTCATCTATAATGTGCATAGAGATTACTGGTTGGTATATCAACTATTTTAATTATTTAACTATTTTAACTATTTTGACCATTTTAACTAGTTTGACTATTTTAACTTGACCGTTCATTTATTTATTATCAATTATCTACTTATCTCGACAATATTATATAATAATCTTAAGGAGGATTAGAACTACTAGAATCCGGTGTATCATCCAGAGATGTTTGGGCGGCACTTCAAGCTATAAGGGACGAGATATATAGCTTTATCAATTACTACCCTGGATTATTTTGTGTGAGTTTCATTAATGTTCATTGATTTGATGACTAACATGTTATTCCTAGGCAGTTTCTAGCTCTGAACTATAGGATATGGTATCCATGCCAGTTATTTAAAGGTTTTCAAATATAAATTCTGCTAAAACAATAAACATTCCTGATCAGTTAAATCAGTTAGATCTAAGTTTCTAGCTTTAATTTGTATGAGTTGTTTGTCTGTATGAGTCTGTTGTTCTGTTGGAAATTAAACTTTGTAACTTAAAGTGTCTCCCAGACACTAGCAACAGAAAGCCTGTACGTGATAATAGCTAACGGAGTTAACCAGTACAGAGATAACGTGACGGTAATACTGCGCCAACTCTACAAGGAGCTGGTAATATTTGTTAAGAAGTTGGAGCTGCCTAGGGGGAGGCTGCGGGTCAGAGCTGGCATGGACTCAGGTGGGAACTTGTTGTCTTAAGTATTAGTCAATTAGTTAATTAATTATTTAGTTAATTAATTATTTAGTTAATTAATTATTTAGTTAATTAGTTGATTAATTATTTAGTTAAGGGGACAGAGCGATAACTTCGGCTAGGAACAATATTTTTCCATGGGATCAAAAACAGCTGATAGATATCACTCCTCTCTATCAGAAACAACTATAAAGTCAATTTTGAGAGAAATTTCATAAAGACCCCCCCCCCCCCCCCCCCCCCCCCCCTTAATAAGTAGAATTATAAATTGTTAGTGAGATACATGTACTTGCTTGATAAACTACATTCACCCATAATCAATATACTTTTATAAATTATTCTGCCTTCACACAATCTAAAACTCGTTATCAGTCTTGCACATTCCTGAACACAATATCTCAGGGTGCGTGGATACAGGCGTAGTCGGAGACCAGGTTCTTTCTTACCAGATTTTTGGACCTGTCTACACGATCGCTGATATGATGCGGAGTAATGCTGATCCAGGGAAATTATTAGTGTCTGAAAACTCTAAAAAGTTGCTTAAATCCGATAATTTTAAAGAAACAGGAGCGTATAAATATAGGCATAGTGTGTACTATCAGCCTGGCCAGAATTTGATAGCGTCGTAATTCCTTTTATTCAGTATTTGAACTTGAAAAATTTTAATTTTAAGTTTTTAAATTTTTTAGTTATATTGTCTGATCTTGTATTGTATTTGTTCATTATAACGTAATTCTTTACCTTGTTGAAAGTGACCAGATTGTCAATAGATATGTCTCCAACGATATCATGTACTGTGTGGAAAGTGGATTGGAACCGACCTGTACCAAACCTTTTTTTAAGTGCGTACCAAAGAGGTGAGGCCTAATTAGAGACAAGTTAGGGTAGAATTTCATGGTGGTAGTAAAGCAGCAATTATCTCATTTGCATTACTAAAAAACTTGGTACAGAAGGTCAAAGGTGATTGATCTGATTAATTAAGAAAAAAGTTTCCAAAAATATTTGGGTTTTTGGAACGCGCGAGAAATAATTAGTATACAAACAAATAAGTTTTTCATTTACTTTGACATAAAGTTCCGCGCGTGCAGAGCTTCTACAGCAGGGTGTCAGAATTATTGGCGTGTTTGAAATTTTATGTGTATTTTATGATGAAATCAATATTTTTCGACGGGTCATAACTTTACAGTTTACTTCTGAATATCAGAATTACAAAATTCAAAAACTGGTCTGTAGACAATCGTCTGAAATTTTTCAGAATTTTGTGTTGATGTACCTCAAAACCCATAATTTAGGCCGTTATTTAAAGGGTCGATCCTCAGAAGTCAAGTAATGATCGTTTCTAAAAGCTTGGGTAAGCTACAATTTTACGCAAAATTGTCTACTGTCACAATAATTATGACACCCTGGCCCCTGCTATGCTGTACTAGAGGCTAGCTCTTTTATTTATATTATTTTACCGTTTGTATTGACTAACCTGCCGTGCTTGAATTTTGACGATTAACCCTATGTCATGCGGGGTGATCCGGAATCAGCTTTCGAAAATGCATGGCGATATAATGGAGGACTTGAAATTGAGGTCCCACTGCCGCGGATCTTATCCGGCTGATGATCATGGAGTGCGGTCAGCCCAGTAGTGCAGATGCACTACTGGGCCTCGCCAAGTTGCGAAGGATTGACATCGTGGATCAAGGTCAACTCCAGGCAGTATCTAAGAAGCCAGACCACTTGATTCACGATGTCAATCATTCGCAGCTCGACGAGGCCCAGTTCTAGTTATAAGGGTTAAGGTTACTGTTACCTGGGGACCCCAGGCTATTATAAATCAAGAGGCTTGCATATATTGAACATATTGACACGGTTGCAGAGTTGAGTCTGTACGGAACCTAGTAGTTTCAGATCCTTGTTTAACTTGCCGTACAGCAAGATCATCCACTACTTTAGCCCGGCGAGGCACATAACTCCCTCTACAACTCCATGACAAATGTTTCATATACTAGCCGAATTCACAAGATATATCCTTGTGTTTGAGAAGAGCTCGTTAGAACTGCTTCCTTTCCCTTCAGTATCCCACAGTCTCTCGAGTTTCGTAACTGCCAGAGAACTCTCTTAAACAATTACTAGACTCGGTGATTATAAATCAAGAGGCTTGCATATATTGAACATATTGACACGGTTGCAGAGTTGAGTCTGTACGGAACCTAGTAGTTTCAGATCCTTGTTTATGTTCATATACATTTGGCGGAATGACAGGCTGAGCGCGGCCCAGTAAGGTTACTGCTTAGAAATAGAAAGTCTTCATGTACCTTAAAAGTTAAACCCTTATTACTCTATCCGTAATCCTCACCCAAAATATGTCTTAGTGGTGGGACTTGTTGGATACTGCCAAAGTTTCAATCATCACTGAATCTATCTATTTTATATTTAACGTGGATAACATTACTGGGCCGCGCTCAGCCTGTCATTCCGCCAAATCTTTATTCGGGCTGAGTGAGCTATTATGAACATAATAGCCTGGGGTCCCCAGGTAAGGATAACAATTCAATGAACAACATTGTTCGTATGCATATTTGTGGGCACACACCTTGCAACCGCTGCGCTCGCGACGCGAAGGTATGTACGTACGTGACGCGCTCAGACGATTAAAAAATAGCGTTTAGCGACGCGCCTTCCATACAATAAAGGCGGTATACCACGTCAGCAATTGCCTAATCTTACAGCTTGTTAGGTTGCTTGCAAGTTGCAACACCGTAGTATGGCCATCAAGCAGCAGATCACTGAGGATGGCACAAGACACGATTGAGGTACTCAAAGTTCTATTCCCAAAGTAACCTTTGATAAACGGAAAATCATCAGAATATAAGAAAAGATTTTGGAAGATTTTTGAAGAGAAGCTTTTCTGCCGTCCACTTAACCGAAATTTCGCAGTTTTTACTGAAATATTTACCTGTGACCATTAAATAATCAGTCCGATAGGACATTTTCAAATTTAGAGATAAGTTTAACTCTGGATCATTTGCATCTGATTCTCATAAAATGTGAAAGATCTCATTAGGGGTCGTTCACATATTACGTAATCAGCTGAGTGGGGGGGGGTTCCGAATGATTACGCTAGTGTAATTTTGACACAATAGCTATATGTAAAACTGATTACGGAGGGGGGGGGGGGGGGGTGGGGTAAAAATGTTCTAAAAAATGATTACGTAATATGTGTGTGAACGACCCCTTATTACGGATTTAGCAGAGACGATTAAAAAAATCAAGTTTAACTATATAATATCACTATAATATGGAATATTCACTTCATATTATCTAAATCAAATAGAATAGCACCATAAGCCGCAGTAACATCTTTATCAAAGAGCACAAAATCCCCCATAATCTCTCTCAAATAATGCTGCAAGATCGGCCTCTCCGCTATTCCAACAGCATACAAAGTATCAAAGTTAGTCTGGACACCACCCATCATTTCACACAAATTCTCTACAACTCCTCGTAAAACAGCAGCACTAATGTCTCCAACTGTAAAATTATCTGAAGTCACATTTGAAAAACTACCAAATGTGCCCGTATCGTGACGTTCCCCAAAAAACACGGGACAAACCCTTAAATCTGTGTTTCTTTTCTCGTAGGCTAACTCCATAACAGTGTCGTAATGAAGATCAGCGGTAAGTGAGGAGAACAAATTAAAAACTATCTCCATTGAGTTCCCTCCGTTAAGTGACGCAGCAGTTACCAAGTTATATTTATCCGTGTACAATGTACGACGAACCGAGACTGGTAGATCCCCAAAATCATCACATTTTGTAGTGTGAACTATTTGAGAAGCTGTACCGTAGTTGAAAACTCGCCCTGAACTCGCTCCTAGTACTGAATACACTGAAGCTTGTAGGTCACCAACGGGAATGAAAACTTGGGCTCCTTTTTGGATGCTGAACTTTTCGTTGACAACACAACCTATTATGTTTCCATTGTTCACTATTTTGGGTAAGTTTATTGTAACCCCGGCTGTATTTAAAGCTCTGTTGTCCCAGTTTCTTGTTTTGTCATTAAATAACCCCCAACTCTGAGCATTATGATCGCTGATAACACCCTCCCTTAAACCACACAGCACGAACACTAAGTAATCTGCTACAGTCCCACAGTGTTTATACTTCTTCAGTTCGGAGGGTGTGTTCCGTGCAAGCCAAGCTAGAGTAGCGCTACCATACCCCGCGTGCAGATCATCACTAAACTCAGAATACCTGATCTCTCTGAGAAAGTCGTCAGAACATCGGTGGTCCTGCCACGTGACCAGGGTAGTTGTGTCGTGCTCATCATTCCACAACATGACACCGTGCATTTGGCAGCACACTGACACTGTGTTTACGTTTAGAATGAGCGCACCGCTCTTTTCAGCAAGTGCAACAAGCGCAGTGCGTACTGCACTCAGAATGCGCTGCGCACATTGCTCGTGTTTGTTGTCACTGGAGATTATATCAGCAGTGTGGACTTGTTTGGTGTGTAAGATTGTAGAGGGAGAAGAAGAGGGGTTGGAGAGGAAGCAGCATTTTATAGAGGTGGTTCCAATGTCAATACCTACACGTGACATGACACGTGACGACTATGTGCTGTGCATAACAACACGTGACATTTGCTGCTGGAGTGGGGTTTACTGGATTACGCTCAATACTATTATGATTCTCATTTTATTCATGAATGTATTATTTGACACGCAGAATTTACTACTTACCCATGTTACTGTTTGGCTACAAACATGCATGCTTTTTAATTTAATAGGCTTAATTAAGTCATGAGAAATAATAGTGTAAATTAATAATACTGCAGTGTTTGTAGTAACCGGCTAAGATGGCGAGATTGCTAAATAACAATGTTGTGATATTTACTGCAGGAGTAAAAGATACATTCCTCTGGAGACTTTAAATACATTCTGCTACAATGTGGATATGGATATTCAATTTGTATGTGGTTTATTTTCAAACCACATTACTTCCGGTCTAGTTAGGGGTCGTTCACATATTACGTAATCATTTTTTGGAACATTTTTACCCCCCCCCCCCTCCCCTCCGTAATCAGTTTTACACATAGCTGTTGTGTCAAAATTACACTAGCGTAATCATTCGGAACCCCCCCCCCCCCCCCCCCCCTCAGCTGATTACGTAATATGTGAACGACCCCTTATAAAATATAAATGTCAGTCTCAGATTGTTTGATGTACATTTTTATACATGATTTCTTTTAAAGTGTATCAACCAACAAATGTATATTGTTATGTATATATGTTACATTATGTATATATGGTACATTTCTTTATTTCTTACCAGGGATCAAGCCATACTTAACTTTGACAATAAAAGTCCTACAATATGTTCTACATCTACAATTTAGTCTCGACTAATATAGATCATTTTGGCCCACCTACTATCAAATCTAACAGAAGGTTCAAGTTACTGATTAAAGTTCTCAAAATGTATGTTAAACTTAGAGTTCACGGTATAGCATGGAGTGCGTCCATTATATAACAATAATATAATAGCAATATAATGTAAAAGTGGTTCTCTTAGCTGTATAGTGTAGTTATAAAGGGGGGGGGGGGGGGGGGGGGGGGGTGTCATGTCCGTCTATGTCCGCCTATGTCCTGTCCTTTTTGGATTCTATGAGACAACGGACGTGTTTTTTGGGACATTGGCGGACACGGACGGACATTGGCGGACTCGGACGGACATTGGCGGACACAGACGGACATTGGCGGACACGGACGGACATTTGCGGACCCGGACAGGACATTGGCGGACTCGGACGGACATTGGTGGACATTAGCTCAGGAGGAGGAGGACTCAGGAGGAGGACTGAGGAGGACTGAGACGGAGGAGGACTGAAGAGTACTGAAGAGTACTGAGGAGGATGGCTGAGGAGGATGGCTGAGGAGGATGGCTGAGGAGGATGACTGAGGAGGATGACTGAGAGGGAGAACTGGAGAAGGAGGATCAGGAAGACCCAGGAGGAGGAGGAGGAGGACCCAGAAGGAGGACCTAGGTGGAGGAGGAGGAGAACTGAGGAGGATGACTGAGGAGGAGGAGGACTCAGGAGGAGGACTGAGAGGACTGAGGAGGATGGCTGAGGAGGATGGCTGAGGAGGATGACTGAGAGGGAGGAGGAGGAGGAAGAGGAGGAAGAGGACTGAGGAGGAGGAGGAGAAGGACTGAGGAGGAGAAGGAGGACCCAGGAGGAGGAGGACCCAGGAGGAGGACCCAGGAAAAGGCCCCAGGAGGAGGAGGAGGACTGGGGAGGAGGAGGACGGACATTGGCGGACACAGACGGACATTGGCGGACACGGACGGACATTTGCGGACCCGGACGGACATTGGCGGACTCGGACGGACATTGGTGGACATTAGCTCAGGAGGAGGAGGACTCAGGAGGAGGACTGAGACGGAGGAGGACTGAAGAGTACTGAAGAGTACTGAGGAGGATGGCTGAGGAGGATGGCTGAGGAGGATGGCTGAGGAGGATGGCTGAGGAGGATGGCTGAGGAGGATGGCTGAGGAGGATGGCTGAGGAGGATGGCTGAGGAGGATGACTGAGGAGGATGACTGAGGAGGATGACTGAGAGGGAGAAGGAGGATCAGGAAGACCCAGGAGGAGGAGGAGGAGGACCCAGAAGGAGGACCTAGGTGGAGGAGGAGGAGAACTGAGGAGGATGACTGAGGAGGAGGAGGACTCAGGAGGAGGACTCAGGAGGACTCAGGAGGATGGCTGAGGAGGATGGCTGAGGAGGATGACTGAGAGGGAGGAGGAGGAGGAAGAGGAGGAAGAGGACTGAGGAGGAGGAGAAGGAGAAGGACTGAGGAGGAGAAGGAGGACCCACGAGGAGGAGGACCCAGGAGGAGGAGGACCCAGGAGGAGGACCCAGGAAAAGGCCCAGGAGGAGGAGGAGGACTGGGGAGGAGGAGGACTGTTGAGGACTGATGAGGAAAACTAAGCACGAGGAGGAGGAGTAGGAGGAGGACTGAGGAGGGGAGAAGGAAGAGGACTGGGGAGGATCAGGAAGACCCAGGAGGAGGACCCAGAAGGAGGAGGAGGAGGAGGACCCAGAAGGAGGAGGAGGACTGAGGAGGAGGACTGACGATGACTGAGAAGGAGGGGGACTGAGGAGTACTGAGGAGGACGGCTGAGGAGGATGGCTGAGGAGGATGACTGAGAGGGAGGAGGAGGAGGACTCAGGAGGAGGACTAAATAGGAGGAGGAGAAGGAGGAGGACTGGGAGAGGACTGAGGAGGAGGAGGACTGATGAGAAGGATGAGAAGGAGGACTGAGGAGGAGGACTGAGGACCGAGGAGGAAGAGGAGGAGGATGAAGAGGAGGAGGAGGACCCAGGAGGAGGAGGACTGAGGAGGAGGGCTGAAGAGGACTGAGGAGGATGGCTGCGGAAGATGACTGAGAGAGAAGAGGAGGAGGAGGACTGAGGAGGAGGAGGAGGAGGAGGAGGAGGACTGAATAGGAGGAGGAGGAGGAGGACTGGGGGAGGACTGAGGAGGAGGATGGAGGACTGAGGAGAAGGATGAGGAGGAGGACTGAGGATCAGGAGGACTGAGGAGGAAGAGGAGGAGAATGAAGAGGAGGAGGAGGACCCAGGAGGAGGACTGAGGAGGAGGAGGACTGGGGAGGAGGAGGACTGTTGAGGACTGATGAGGAGGACTGAGGACGAGGAGGAGGAGTAGGAGGAGGACTGAGGAGGGGAGGAGGAAGAGGACTGAGGAAGATCAGGAAGACCCAGGAGGAGGAGGAAGAGTAGGAGGAGGAAGCATCTAAATGTTATTTACATTTTTGTCCATTTTTGTCCGTTTTTGTCCGCTCTATTTTTTGTCCGTTTTGAAAATATAGGGTACCGAACGGACAAAAAACATGACCCCCCTATAACAGCAAAAATTGAACATTTTATTTAGCAATTTAGGTGTCCATTAATGTCCGCTAATGTCCGTCTATGTCCGCCTATGTCCGCCAATGTCCGCCTATGTCCGTCTATGTCCGTCTATGTCCGCCTATGTCCGCCTATGTCCGCCTATGTCCGCCTATGTCCTGTCCTTTTTGGATTCTATGAGACAAGCGGACATAGACGGACGTGACACCCCCCCCCCCCCCCCCCCCCCCCCCCCCCCCTATAAAAGATTGCGACCCAAAATACCCTAATTAATCTTATGCAACAATAGGCCCAATAGGATCACCTGATTGGATTTATAGTATTGCTGGGGTTTTAATGAAGATTAGTCTTGAAGTCATCCTCCAATATTATTATATACACTTATTATTCATCATTAACGTATATTTTATGGTTTACAAACTCATTTGACTTTTGAGGAAGCCTCGTTTTCAGAAAATTGAACAATCTTCAGACACAAATTTGCGATAGCATTATTCCTCATGATTTATTTGATAGGAAGAGTGAGGACCATTCCACTGGAGAACTACTGACTGTAGCTCCTGCAACACAATGAAATTTTCGCAATTGAACAAGCTGTACAGCTAAAACATTTTTCTTTATTTACTTAAGCAAATATGTAAGCTAAATCATGATTATATAGCTAACAGTGGTATAAGAAAGAAAGAAATATTACTGGTGGTTAAATTGTTATATTTACAAGTTTTAATTAATTAACAGCTTTTCAAAATATTCAAACAAATTAGTGAAAATTGGATGCAACTAAAAGCAATTAAAAGCAATTAAACTGAAGAAAAGAAAAGAAAGAAATCAGTCTTGCATTTCTGGCTCTGAAAAATGACAAATATTTCAAATAAAACATACCTCAGATTGTTAAAATAACACAAATCTATGCTTGACTAACAGCAAAATGGCTCTCATCATCATCTGACTCACTGTCCAATAATCTAACATGATCCCCAGCTCTCATCTCAATAATGTTGGACTTAACCTTGCCCTCCACCAAATCTTTCATCTCTGACAGAGTCCCCGGTAGTAATTTACCGTGAGTCTCCGGCATCCAGCGGTACATAACAAAACACATGATAGAAGACACAAGGATGGCAGTAAAGTTTATATCAGGACTGACTTTATTGGCCACAATCACAAAGGGGGCCATGATACTGCCAATTCTAGCAGTGCTGGAACAAATAGCAAGACCACTGCCACGAACATTGGTCGGTAGAACTTCTGAAGTGTACAAGTAGATGGTTGTGAAGTATAGATCAGCTATCATTCTGCCTGCGAGGGCTGATATTTTCGTGATGTTAAAGCCAGGGAATATTTCCTTTTGTATGGAATCATACAGAAGACAGCTGACACCACCATACCAACATTGCAAGCACGCAGAAAAGAAACTCTCTTCATTCGCTTCACACCATAATAATTTATAGGGCGATTTACCAAATCAATGATACAAATGATAACCTGGTTCATGTAAAGATTACCAATGAGATCCCCCACATTGAAGCTAAGCCCCCAGTAACAGAACGAAGCAGTCAGCCACGAGAACAAGAATATTATTGTTGTCCTCCTGGTGGATTTTGAGAAACTAAACAAAGCACTTACAGTGTCATCAGCCTTAGTCTCTATAGGGTCTATTTTCTCTTCTAACAGAAACTTAATGTTGTTAAACTTTGCGATATATGAGAGGGTTTTCTTAGTTTCTTCCTCCCTATTATTGACTTGTAACCACAGCGGGCTTTCTGGAATCCAGACAGCGATTATCAAACCAAAAAACAGGCCAGGAACAATTAAAAGAATACAAATGAGTGCAAAGTTCTCGATGTAATAAGAGAGCATAGCCCCATATAACATGCCAATGGAGAATGTTTCGTTGTGTATCTGACAACCAAGGTTGCGCAAGCGGCCAATAGTGAGCTCTGATTGGTACACATATATTGCTCCAATGAACCCTGACATAAACCCTGTCAGGGCATGGGCCACCCCAAATACTCTGAAGTCAGTTTTACTTCCAGCATGCATCAGTACAGTGAAGCAATATACAAATATCCCAATCCATATACATTTGTGCCTGCCAAACTTGTCCATAACTTTGCCGCCAATTAGTATTCCAATCATAAAACCAAAGAAGTAGCTGCTGCTTATGATGCTGAAATAGCCCTCATAACCACAGTAAACTTTATAACTCTTCAGAAATTTGTCTGTTGCTTTAGATGCTGGGGAGTACCAATCAGCATCTGTTAAGTTTGTTTGTTCACAAAGATTTTTCTCTGGGTCACATTGGTCGGTGAGACACTGCCAGCCTTTTGTTGAAGTGAGAAACGTAAGAAACAGAGGAACACCACCATTGGTTAGTAGTGTCAAGGAAATTACCATCATCGTGAAGTATTGGAAAGGTGGATATTTCCTGAGGTTGATCTTCTCGACTAGTTCTCCTAATTTTGCCATGATCACCT